GGATGGATGGATGGATGGATGGATGGATGGATGGATGGATGGATGGATGGATGGATGGATGGATGGATGGTATATTAGATAATACATGATAGACAGACAGACAAGACAGATAATGGATGGATGGATGGAGAGATAAACGGATGGACCTTGGAGGTCTTCTGCTCCAGCCCCCTTCCCAAGGCAGGAGACCTTATACAATCCGCAACCATTCCGTTTTGAATTCCTGCGGAGAAATTAAAGCCGCCAAGGACAGCACTGAGCTTGTATTATCCAGCCTCCCCCCTGCTCTCTTCTGCCCCTTCCCCTGCAGCGATGTGGTGGCCCCCAGCTCGACCTTTTGCAAAGTCTACACCTTGACCCCTTTCCTGGCCAACAACCGGGAGAAGCGCGGGCTGGCTTTGGACGGGAAGCTGAAACACGAAGACACCAATTTGGCTTCCAGCACCCTGTGAGTGACTCTTTCCCCCCGGGGGCCGTTGGGAGGGTCCGTTTGGATGGCCTTTACCTGGTTTACGGGATCCCTGGAGTTCAACTCCCAGAATTCCCCAGTCAACATGTCTGGACTAACTCCCAGAATCCTTTAGCCAGAAGAGCTTTCTATACAGGGGGTCCTCGACTTACAACCACAATGGAACCCAAAGCTTTCGTTGCTAAGCGAGGCAGTCGTTAAGTGCCTCTCAGCCTCTTTTTTAACGACCTTTCTTGCCGCAACTGTTTAAGTGAATCCCTGCCGTTGTTAAAGTGCCAACACGGCTGTTAAGAGAATCTGGCTTCCCCCATCGGCTTCGCTCGTCGCGACCGTCATAAATGTGAGTCCGTTGCCGAGCATCACATGACCACGGGGGGAAGGTTGCAGCAGACGTAAGTGTGGAAAACAGCCCTGTCCCTCTCCTCAGTACCGTTGTCGCTACGAACGGCCTCTTAAATGAACGGTTGTAAGTCGGGGACCGGCCTTGGGCAGATTTTCTGGGAACGGAGGGAAAGAGAAAGGCTGCAAAAAGGGAGGAAAGTTCTCATATTTGACCGATTTTTCTTTTTTTATTTGTTCCTGAGGCGAATAATCCTTTCCTTTCCTGTCCCAGGTTGAGAGAAGGCGCCAACAAGGAGGTTCTGGGGATTATCGTCTCCTACAAAGTGAAAGCCAAGCTGGTGGTCTCTCGAGGGGGGTAAGTCCTCGGCTTATGGCCGCAAAGGTGCGTGGAATTCCTGTGGTATTTCCTAACCTTTAACCCTAATCCCAAGAAGACCCATCCCTTGCTATGTATGTTTACGTGGTGAGCTTCTGCCCCGGAGACAAATCCCTTCTTGTGTCCGATCCCACTTGGTCAATAATTCTAATTCTATCCAATCCTATCCCCTTTTCTAATTCTATTCTATTCTATTCTATTCTCCCTTTTTATTCCGTTCTACGTTCTATTCTGTTGTATTCTATTCTATATTCTCTTCTCTATTCTATATTCTATTTATATTCTATTCTGTTGTATTCTATTCTATTTTATATTCTATATTCTATTCTATTCTCTTTTCTATTCTATTCTATATTCTATTCTATTCTATATTCTATTCTATTCTATATTCTATTCTATTCTATATTCTATTCTAGATTCTATTCTATATTCTATTCTGTTGTATTCTATTCTATATTCCATTCTATTTATATTCTATTCTGTTCTATTCTATTCTATTTTATATTCTATATTATTTCTATTCTATATTTTATTTTATTTTATTCTATTCTATTCTATACTATACTCTATTCTCTTCTCTATTCTATTCCAGATTCGATTCTATATTCTATTCTGTTGTATTCTATTCTATATTCTATTCTATTCTCATTTCTATTCTACTCTATATTCTATTCTATTCTATTCTCTATTCTATTCTATTCTCTATTCCATTATATATTCTATCTTTTCTATTCTCTATTCTATTCTATTCTCTATTCTATTCTATTCTCTATTCTATTCTATTCTCTATTCTATTCTATTCTCTATTCTATTCTATTCTCTATTTTATTTTATTCTATTCTATTCCATATTTTATTCTATTCTCTTTTCTATTTTATTTTATTCTATATTTTATTCTATTTTTAAAACTATTCTATTCCATATTTCTATTCTATTTTTATACTATTCTATTTTCTTTTGTGTTCTATAATGATAATGATAATTCTGTTCTCCTACTCTACAGAATTCTGTTCTGTTGCGTTCTAACTCTCTTCTCTCCTCTCCTTCCAACCTGCCAGCTTGCTGGGAGATCTTGCCTCCAGGTAACAACACCTTTCAAATTCTACCTGTGCTGATCAAATGCAGTGCAACCTCCCTCCACCGGGGGCATCCACGGGGAAAGTCGAAACAGTCAAGGGTGTTTTTTTTGCACACAAGGGATGGCTGAGAAGCCATCTTGACTTTTCTGACCTCCTCTGGGGAAGCCCCTGCCTTTGCATGCAGAGATCTGATCCCCCACCTAGAAGGGTTACCACATCGCTGCAGCACTGATGATGTTCCCTAGTATGGTGATGAAACGTCTGTAAAAAAAAAAACAACCGAGCTCAGAGAGCACCAAAGACCCTTCATAAATAATTAGAATAAATTATAATTATTGACACTATTTTTTTTTAATAGCACCCTTTCAGGGTCAAAGGTTAGTCCTTTGGGAGAGAATAAACCCCTCAAAAGCGAAAGCTTCATCTGAAGGAGGCTAAGGATTAGAAATGAGGACTAGAAGCTTGAGTCGGTATAGCTGTGGCAGAGGTAAGGCAGGATCTTAAAGCAAGGTAACCTTTTAAGAGAGGTTTAGGGGAGCAGAAAAAGTGCTTTTGGGAGGAGTAATAATCCCCCCGAAAGTGAAACCTTCATGTACAGGGAGCTAAGGATTAGAAATGAGGACTAGAAGCTTGAGTTGGTAGAAAGCAGGCGGCTAGATCCACTAGAGAGTCTTGAGTTCTCCCCAAGGGGCATCCATGGGGTCTCCCACTTTGATTAAAAATTAATTTCTAAACAAAGCGGCTGAAATGGAGAAGATCACCCCAACTTCCCTCCCCGATCCCACATCGAGAAACGAATGTCGGAATCCCGCATGATTTGCAGCAAGAAAGCCAAGTTCTCCTCCCTTCAAAAATGGGTTTCTTTGAATGCCTTGCTGGGAACTGGGGCCAACCTGGCTCCCCATAAACCCAGTTTAGGAAATCCTGGCCAGGCAGACACCCCCAAAACTCCAGGCCTTGCGAAGAGGGCAGTCCCGGAGGAAGGAGGCTGGTGCCGGCCATACCCGAAATGGATTCCTCACTTTCTTTCTTTCTTTCTTTCTTTCTTTCTTTCTTTCTTTCTTTCTTTCTTTCT